GCGCAAGCAGCTTTGTTGCAACAGAGCTTGCGGTGCTTTTGATAGTGCTTGGTTCGCCGTATCTACGCAGCTCATGGAAAGGGCTTGCGATGCTCTTGGAGCTGCGATTTGCGTCCTAAGGATTCGCATATCTCAACCGTTGCAGCCCTGGAGTTGACACAGTTGGCACAGTTCTCACTGAGATGACGATGGGTTCCAGACTGATCTGATGACGATAACTCAGGAAGCTGAAGAACGGAGAGGAGACAAATGCAAAGGCCAGCATTTTGCGAGACTTTGAGCAGTTAGAGTAGGTGTGCATAGAATCTAAATAGGGAGCTCTGGCCAAGAGTTGCAGTGTCAACCTGCAGTGGATATCCTTTGACAAGTGGTCTGATAGTCTTAAACTTTAGTAAGTCTAGAAGAAATGAAAGGTAAGGACATGTGCAACATGCTATCCAAGAACAAGGCCCTGCCAAGTTTATTGTCCTGAGTGACGGCATGGGGATGCATGGGGTTGGCACCAAGCTTCGCAACTCACGAAAGGCTGTTGTGAATCGCCACTGCAGAGATCACGACAACTGCCACCAAAATGCTGAAGAGCATCACAGCACCGTCGGTACAAATTGCACACGTCGCTACAAATCGTGAAATCACGGCAGATTCCAAACAAAATTTTTATTGCAGATCATGGCTATATCATCGCCACGGTACGGACGCAAATCGCAGCAGATCCCATACGCCAGATCAATGGCTTTTCTGTTCAGGCTTTTCGTTTGTGGTCTGATGGAAGCTCGTAGCGTTATCATCGAAGCATCGAGTAGCTGAAAGCAACTGGATAGGACGGGAGGGAGGAAGGAGCAAGGCAGAAGGGGAAAGGCTCGTTGCGGACCGAACAGAGAAATTCTGCGTGCGCATAACACTAGGAACAATGTTCGCTACCAGGGGCTCCTGGCATCGCTACTAGGAGCGATCGGACGCTGCTAGGGGCTCCTGGCCTTACTACTAGGAACAAAGGGCGCTACTAGTAGCGATGCCTGTGGCTGTGAACAAGGGTCCCAAGATGTCCCAAGCCTTACAACATCGATAGCAAACCACCGCTACACTAGCGCAACGGCAAATGTTTCTTTGCCAGATCCAAGCAAACCGTGGAGAACATTCAAAACACATGCATTTGTATAAGTGCAGAAGGAGACCCTTACAACACTATGCAAACACCATGTCATCATCCAGACAAGGGTGGCCATTGTGCATCTTCTGCAAGTGCACCTATGAAATATAAGAACTGGGACCAGAGAACTGCAATGTAAATAACGGAATCATCTTGAGGTAACAAGCCGCACAATTTCATGAGCAAGTGCTTGAGCCCACAATCGGATCCCTTGGCAGGCCGATCTCAAGGTCCAGCCGGAGGCAGAGCTAGTTGAGCTAGCAAACTTCTTTTCAACAAAGACACATTTTTGCACATTCCATATCTTGCAATGCCTGCATTGACAGGTCCTGGTGCCAGCGGTGCCAGTGACAGCTTTTGATCGACAAGCTGGTGGATAGTATGTTCTGATGTCACCTTCGCCACGAAGTTTGGCGCGTGGCGAACGACCATTTGCTGGACGCACCACAAGCCAGAAGAGCATACGCCATGGTGCATACAAGTATTAGAATATATGCATACGATTGTATCATGTATATACATTTAGAACGTGCTCGGAGCCTGTGGAAAGCAGGTTGAGTTTCCTTAATACATTTCATTAGCCAAAATGCCATGCCATTTTGGCTCAAGCCTGCATTCTACTGAAAGAACCCCAAGATAAATCAAAACCAACCAGCCAAAGCCCGCGTGTCTGCTTTGCTGTTGGTTTTTTGGGCTTGATGTTTAAGGAAACACACACACACATATATATATATAATATGTATATGTATATGTATATGTATACACCCAGCCTATGTATGAGAATCATGACCTAAGAACTGGTGCTTCCAGGTGCTTCCTCATGGTCGGAATTCATCTCAACAAGCCGTATAGCCAAGGCTTTTAAAGCTTTAACAGCCTCAGCCATTCTAAGGCTAAGTTTTTGAGCGATGAGGACACTTGCCTAGACCCAGCGACGCAAGCAAAGTGAGTGGAACTTTTTGGTCAACCTGCACCCTGCCCTTGGTGGCAGAGATCCATACTTTCGTGCAGGAGACACTCAGCTAGTCGCAACAGAGGGTTGTTTGGGAAGTCTCTCGCAGCCAACAACCAACAACCAACCTACTCTGCATCCATGGTTGCTGTTGTCAATCTTTGTGGTAGAGACTTTTGCTGAAGGCATGATTTTCTGCTCGTACAATTCAATCGCGAAGTCTTCAAAATGCTACGACCTGCGCTTGCTATTCCCTTTTTAAAACTGGTGTTTCTTTTGGCCTCAATTGGAGTTGACGAAACTTCAGAGATTGCTTTGCTTGTCAAGGTTGGGAACAGTGTGACGCTGGCAGACATTTCGGCTGGCTTCTTAAGAGAAGGCTAGTTTCTTTTCTCGCTGCTTGGCTCCAAGAGCTGACCAAGGTTTGCTGCGCTTTGGTTGACGCTATGAAACTTGCTGGACCCATAGTCCACATTACAACAAACTACTTCCAGCATGACTTCAATCAAGCGCAATGGTGCTTCAGCATGAGAGCACGTGAAAGGTCTTTGACGACAAGTTCCTCAAGCCTTTCTCGGTGCAGCTCTGATGTTGCAAAATCGAATCATATTCAATTGTCATCGCAACTAAACACTGCAATGATTGCCAGAACTTGTTGCGCTGGTTCCAGCTTTGTGTTTGCCTCAGCTTCCAGCCCAGAGCTGATGGACATTGATTGACCTGGCCCGAAATCCGAGGCGTAAACCAGCCAGAATTTAAGAAAGTCCTCGGAGAGGTTAAACTCCCTGGAGCTCAGGCTGGGCTGAGCTTGCTTGTTTTCGACTTGTGTATCCTTCACTCGAGGCCGGAAAGCAAGATAGCAAAAAGAAGGATGCCCCTGCACAAAAGGAGCCTGCTGCAAAGAAGGAGGCTGCTCCGAAGAAGGAGGCTGCTCCGAAAAAGGATGCTGCTCCAAAGAAGGATGCTGCTCCAAAGAAGGATGCTGCTCCAAAGAAGGATGCTGCTCCAAAGGGCGAGGCAGCTTCAAAGAAAGACAAGAAGAAGGCCCCCCCGATGCAATTGTTTACTTCAGTGAATTCTTGATGAAGGCTGTTCTGTAGTGCTTAGAGTGCTGAACCATGCAGGAGAAAGAGCCAAAGAAAGAAGACGCCCCGGCAGAAAAAGAGAAAACACCTGAAGAGATTGAGAAGGAAAAGAAGGACAAGCTGAAAAAGGCTAGCTCTGAACCAGCCTTTCATTTGTTCGGGTGTTCACTCCGAGTAATTTCCTGTAATTTCTATGAAGGTAATCAAAGAGGGAGGAAAGCGAGGAGTGGAGATTGAAGGTGCCGCTTTTTCCGTTCCTTCCGACCAATCTGAGGGGAATTCAGGGGCAGAGGACCTTGTTGGGTGCAGTTGGGTGCTTCCGAGGTGCTGCTGACATGGGCGGCTTGCAGTTTTTCTGCACCTCCGTGGATCATCCTGAGGTGGTTTTCCGCTTTTTGAAAGATTGGCATGAAAGAACACCGCAAAGATTGGCACAAAAAGATGACGTGCTGCCCACTGTGTGCCCACCGGTGTGATGTGTCAACGCGAATCTTCAGGGACTATGTGCTTCTATGCTTCTGTGACTCGGTCAGGGTGATCTCGAGCTTTTGGTCAAGTGCGTCGAAGCGATGAATGCAAAAAGCGATCCCAACGAGGAGGAGAACTGGACGCGAGGTGGAAGGTGATGATCAAAGGTTCAATGGTCAGTTCTTCCTTTTTTTCGAACCTTTTTGCAATATATATATATCTACCTCAATTGGAAGAACAAGTAGAACATATCTTGAAAACATGGTGCAAGGGGTGCCTTTGATGACATAATCATATATAACTGCCATAACCATAAACTCAATTCTCCTGGGTGCACAGCAGGCACAGCACATGTTTGCCTGCAAACATCCAGGAGCGAAAAGGTGGGTCCGGCCACATTGGCAAGGCAAGTACGGAGCCTTTTTGGCAACTCCTTTGTGAAAGAAGCTAGTAGTAACAAGTGCCTCGCTAGTAGTAACAAGTGCCTTACTAGTAGTAACAAAAAAGCTATTAGAATACATTAGCTTCTTGTTACTACTAGTAAGGCACTTGTTACTAGTAGCGATGTACTTGTTCCTAGTAGCTTGAAGTCCTTTGTGATGTTGGGGAGCGAACGAAGCCTTCTTGAAGCCTTTCGAATCTGCAGATGGTCTTCTCCTGCGGCGTTGAGCATCTGGCCGTCGTTGCGTGAGCGGTTTTGATGCGACGATGAACTCCACATGTCGGTGAGGTTCACATCCTGCGTAGGTACGTGCCCGACGAAAAGGCCAAAGAGCTCAACTGTGAGGACAGGTCTACGTGGCTAATTTCCGCTTGTGAAAACGTCGATACACTCCCAGGAGCCCCCCTGGCCTTACTACTAAAAACTAGTAGCAACACCGGAACATGTGTCGATACGGGATCCGGTGCTGTTTGGATGCAGGAATGGCTCAGCGCTGTTCTGGCCACCCAAGGTGGCGAGGTGATGTCCTCTTTGTCCAGTTTCTTTTGACAGGACGTCGCGCCCGATTTGACGCCATCGGTTTTCTACTTTTCTTGTGGATGTTGTCAGCTTGAAAGAGACGTTACTACTCGAGGTCTTGACTAAGAGCGCGAGCATTTCAACTGGCAAAGCGACAGACTCAGCTTCTGCCGTTTTTCCTTGGGGAGTCCTGCACCAACCTGTCCATGCTTCCAGGTTCAGGCCAATGCGGACAAGGCATAGTGCTTTAATTTGCGAGCATTTTGGAGCCACGCATATCGCACCTCATATCGTACCTCAATGCCATTGCGCTTCTGCAGGGTGTGTTTCCTTTGAAGTCAGGAGCTTAGACGAGCCGAGTCAGTGTTTGCACAAGATTGCACAAGGGACTGTGAAACTGTGTAAGGATTCGCGAGCCCATGATCGTTGAGGCTAAATGAATGAAGACAGCAAGCACCCCAGGTTTTTGCATCTATGTGTCGCTACCCTGCAGGCAAACAACTTTTTGCGAAAGAAGGGTCTCTTTCCGGAGGACGCAGCTCTCCGATCTACTTTTCGCCGAAGGCTAGATCGAACAGTTGAAGGCCCTGCTTCTGTAGCTTCTTGCTGCTAGTAGGAATGCCCTTGCTACTAGTAGCGATGCCCCTGCAAATTACTAGTAGTCCAGTCCTTCGGAAGCTTCGGATCGAGTCAGGATTTCTTTCTCACCTTTCTTCCTTTTTCCTTTTTCATTGTTTCTAATAGGGATGGCCTCCGTGATTTTCTGCAGGACAAAGATGATGATGATGACGAATTCGTCTTTGGGGATGATGACTTCCCATCCTAAATTTGTCAGCCTTGGTGGACAGACCCAGACTTGGATTCCATTTCTGGGGACCTTGGCTGACGTTCTAGCGACTAACACGCTTCGGCTCCAGTGTCAGACTGCACAAACTTCTGTGCAGCAGGTGGGCATATGAATGAAACACTTTGTCCATGTCCCCGGAGGCTCCGATCCGGAGACCGCTCCGATCCGGAGACCGAAAGGACGCTTACTCGCTTGAGAAGTCGAAAGATGATTCACGCGAAAGATGAAGTCCGAGCCATCCATAGTCCAACTCCCAAGTGCAAGTTTCATCTATATAAAGCACTTTTTTACTTTTTCTTTTGCTTTTTAGCCCGCCCTTACCTACTTGATTAAACTAAGTGATCAGCATAGATTTCCATATTTTTGATACTCAGCTACTGTTGGCGTTGAAAGGACCACAAGAGCAGCTGAGGCAGGTACCCTGAGACACTATACTATGCAAGAGCATATGATTTTGATTCGACTATCCGCTGCTCCGAGTAGGGGTCCATTGTGTTTATGCACCATCAGATACTTGGCCAGATGTGGTAGAAAAACGGAGCGAACATAACATATTGAGCTGTACTGGGCATTCGCATTGCGAGATGAGAAGTGTAACATGTGCTCAAGCCTCTCAAGATTCAAATACTGGTGGCACAGGATGAATGGACCCCTCCTATCTGACTTTTGCTCTACATGACTAACAGCTTTTCAACAAAACTTTCTGGCCTATTCTTCACATTTGCCTTTGATCCGCAGGACACCCGCAATTAGTTTGGTCCCTGTAGCTGTTTCTCCTTTGTCCACCCTCTTTAACATTCATTTCACCAATCCCTCATCCTCTGGTCCTATTGTTAGTTTACACTTCCTGAACCACAAAAAGCTGGCTCAGTGTTGGCTCTTGCCTTTTGCAGCTTGCCGATGCAGTGAGACTCATATCAGGCCAGATTAGTCTTAGTCTCGGATCCCTTGAACAGATTAGCCTTGCAGACCACATTCCCAGATCCAGATTATCTACGGGGTGTCTCCAGATTGCTCTCGGAACCTTGTAGACCTTCAGCACGGGTTCATTCACCCGGTGTCGCTTTTAGGACACGCTCGTCAATCAGCTAGCAATAGCAAGCTCTTAATGGCTATGGCCTCCAACTTTATTAGCGATGGCCTCCAACCCTGGTAGCTATGGCCTCCTAGCAATAGCAAGCTGTTAAGATGGTTCGAGTTTCTTTCAAGGCAAGGAGGACATGACTTGGCTTTACAATGTCGCCTAGTGCAAGTCATGTGGACACCACCTCCGCAATGGCAGAGGAGCTCTTTCTTATTCTTGTCCTTTGGTTTGGCTAGGCTTTGTTTAACCAGGTCGTTCTTGATTTTATCATTCTGTCTGGAGAGGATGTCCGCGCTGTATTCGCATATGGCACTCTTCGTGAGAAGCTGATTCACTTGGCGCGTTCGTCTTCGGCATTCCATCGAGCATCACTCGAGCATGACTTTAGTTTGTATGAGGTGGCGATTTCAGTGAGAAGGGTGACTTTTGGGGAGTGATTGCAAAAACAGGCCAGGCAGAAGAATGCACAAAACATCCTGTTCTCTTTTGAACAGCTCATGCTTTCAATTTTGATACATTCTTCCGACTGTGAGGAAATAATGCTTTGTTCAACAATGACAACTTGTTTAGTTTCTGATTCACAGTTTCTTCATCATCTGACGAGCCTTCGAGGTGCTGCATGGGTTCCTGCATCGGTGCCCGGCTTCAAGCTGTACCAAGAGGTGGATTTATACCAGTTGACAAAATCCCCATTGTTTGCTTGGAATTGTCAATTTGCAGAATCGTATTTTCTCGCAGGATTGTGCAACATATCCGTTTGCCCTTCAGACTGAGAGCTCTGAGGCCCGGAGGATGTTATCACCTGTGGAACGTTAGTCTTGAGATGCCAAGGACGTGCTACATGGTCGGCCCTTCAGAGGAGGTCCACACTGTCCATGAATCCATTGCAGCTTTGCTAGGTACGCTTCTTATGTGGTCGCAGACATCAGCAAGGTGGACCAAGCGAGAATGGTTCATTATTCATGGCACGCCCATCACTTTGTTGTCATTTTGCTTTGACAATCTCATTGCATGAGGGATCAACATCATAGCACCGTTTCACATCAGTTAATGTTGCATCAGCTTGCATCAGTTACACTAGACCCCTTGGCAAAGTATCCAACCCAAGTGGACTATCACCGGACTATCCCTGGACTATCGGAGGAGAGCCATTCAGAGATGCGATCAAATCGAGGGCTTTGATCCTGAAAGTCCGCATGATGGTTTGTATCGCCAGAGGCCAAGATTTCGCCGGTTTGCAGACACATTGGACTAACCTGGCGGCATTTGGTGTTGTTTTGGACAGTGAACCAACTTGACCATGTGGCGGTGGGTCAAAGCCCAGTGGTTGTCATGTGAAGCAAGCATGAAACGGTTAGATTGTGTTGGAGTTTTATCCATGCCCATAGAAGTGCTGCTGGGAACACATCCTTTTGAGCCTGCTCCATTTGGAACGAGTCAAGCCTTGCAGAACAGCTTTGCCCGGCATATTCTTGAAAGACAAGCTGAAGTTGAATTTGTTTTTCTCGTGCTTCGGGTGATGCGTTTGCAGGTCGTGCGATGGTTGATGTACCCGCCACCAGCCTGCAGTTAGCTGGGCCAGCATTCTTCAATCACAACTTCTTCAGAATTCAACACACAATTTCAGATTAGATATGCTGAAGGTTTCTGTCGACGGGCTGATGAAAATGGTCAAAGAAAAAGACTTGCTGAAGGACATCCTTGGCAAATCGAGCGGCAGTCTGATGTGGATTCGGAGTTCTTTTTGTTTCAGCGTAGTAGTGCACTGCAGATTTGGCTTGGCTTGAGGTGATCCGTCGAAAGATGGAGACTCAGCTTCAGTGACAGTGAGGCTGGGGGCAATGCCGCAGATGCTGCATCCACACGCCCTGCTTAGCGCGGCTTTTGGTCTTCAACATACTAGTACCAAGCAGCACGACAGTTACTCAACATGTGCTCAGGAAAGTGGGTTGCTACCGTTGAACTTGTTCATCATGTCCATAGTCCAACTCCATTGATTCAGTGCTGCACTGGCGGATGCTATAGTTATTGCTGTGCAGCTTTGGAAGTGTGGGGTTTCGTTGGTACTACCTACCTCAATGAAAAGAGCGTTTTCAGCTTGGTGCGATTGCGCATCGCTACAAGGTAGAAGCAAGAGCTTGCAGTGTTGTTCGGAGAGCTTCTCACCTTTGTGAGGTCGAAGAAGTAACATGAATTGAGTTGCAACAAAGCGACTTGAGTTTATTGAACACATAGATGTTCTATGTATAACATATACGGTAAGTAGCATACTTAATCGATCTTATTGGTGTTCTTTACAGTAATCAGGAGGATATCCTTGGCCCCTTCACCAGCAGTGACAAGTCCCCATTCTATTCCTACGAACTCGTTTTACTTCACCATTCGCAAATTCTAAGCGCTTGACTAACTAGCAGTAAGAACCTACCAAAAAAGCAATACGGTGCCTCCTGGCTAAGAGTGAAAGCCCATCATGTTACCAGCAGTGAACACATACCATTTCACCATCAGCCCACATGTTCCATTTGATCATTGGCCACACTGTAGAGCTTCACCTGCTACAGTTGCACCGCAGGTGAAAGTAAACCATTTTCCATGTTCGCAGTGGAAACGGCACGTGTCAACGTGCCTGACCGAGCTCTAAGAGCCTACCAAGTGCTACGATACCACCGTGAAGAAGCTACCACTGAATCAGCACAGCAGTAAAGCGCAAGCTGTAAAGCTGTACCATGTTACCACAAGCAAACACCTGTCAGTTCACCAGCGTAAGAAGCGACCACTCCACTTGCACAGAACTTCAGAAATAGTGGAGAGCCACAATTCCCCAGCAGAACCAGCCGTCAAAAGCAGTTGCATGTCACAGCTGAACAGCTGTGCGACGGCTGTGAACGGATGACGCTGCAGGTTGGACGCTGCAACACTGTAACATGTTCACGTGATGTTTTGCCACCGTTTTGTGCCAGGGCTTTTGTGTACCATCAGCCGATGGATGGGCGTGAAAAGGAGGTGAAACACTTCCCAGGCTCGCACTGTTGCACTTTTTTGTGTGTACCGTTTCCATTCCTTTTTTGGGCACAAAGTAGTGTTGTAGTGATTGTCAAAGGGAACACGCAGTGAGTTCACTGTAGATGGCACAAAACCAAAGATGGGTCAATGGGTTTGCCCTATCCACTCTCAACTCGCCGCAAGAGTTGCTTTCTCGCTTTCTTTTTGGTTCCTCAGGTGGTGACTGGCTTTCAAAGTGAGTGAAGTAGCGAATCTGGCCGAACAGAGCAATGTACAACGAAGCACCAAAATGGTGCGCATCGTGAAAAGATGCCAATAACTCCTTCCATCGGTTGTTCTGGAGCTTATGGGGCATTCTTCTTTTCACCGGGACTCGCCTCCGAAATACTGAGTGATGCCGCGCATGTCTTCGAGTTGTTAGAGCATGTATGACGTGGGCAGACTAGACAAATGAAATGGTGACTGAAATGCTGCTATTCCCAATTTGATATTCTCTAGATGTTCCATCTCAATTGACTTTGCATCTCAATCAGTCTTCAATCTTCTCCCCCTACATCAATGTGTCCAACCTCTCGCTGTTCGTATCCATCACGGGCCACAAGACGAATCCATGGCGCCGGCTGAGCTGGAGACCTATGCAACTTGGGGCAATATTGGAATGCCTTTGCCTTTTTGTTGTTTGTTTTTTTAAATACATTTTCCTTTTGGCCCGCCTACCTGATTAGCAGCTATTAATATATTATATATATAGTTAAATTAAGTAAAGGACAAACTTGTTTGCTCCTAGCTACTTAAGCTACTAGTATGGACACAGGATAGCTCACGCTTCCTCGAAGACGCAATCGGACTGATGATTTGGTTCCTAGAATTTAAGGGACCCTTGAGTAACAAAGCTGAGCAGTCCTCAGCTGTCTGTGAGAACACAGCGGCACTTTCCATTCTTTATTCATGTTCTTTTATCGCGAATCGTGACTCTTGCATTTTTTGCAGGTGCTTTTTGCTTCTCAATCACTTTCACTGCACTCTTTTTCAGTTCGACATTTGTGTTTTCATGGATTCTGATGCTTCCCTCCAAGGGCCTGGCATTCTATTTGCTGGTGGAAGCCTGTCCTCTCAATTTAACTTGCAAAGACTGGAGAAAGGATGGACATTGATGATAGTAATGTGTTCTGGGTGAAGTACATCGTGAAGTCTTCAGGTTTCAAAATAGATCTACTGGGAACCTGCCTGGGTGAGGTAGTTCTAGATATATGAGGAGGAAGGAACATTTAAAAAGGATGGGTTCTTGCGAGGGCGATGCCCAAAGTCTCGATCGCGAAGTCTCGAGCATGGAGGAAGGGAAAGAGGAGAGTAGGAGCAGAATGACGCAATCTCTCAAGGCTATTGTTTAAATGCGCTGTAGCGCCGTTTCTTATTTCAAACTCAAAGCCGTTTGAAGGACAGATTGTCATCATATACGCCAGGGTGATCTGATATCCGCATGTACTGTGGCTGCTTCGCTGGACTATCACTCACAGCACATGCATGATCCCCCTTGCTATAAGAATACATCATCCAAAGATCCTTGCACCCTGGCCGCGCGCGCACAACACCCATGCACCTCCATGCCTACGCCCACGCGTACGCGCACTCCGTGCACTCTTTCCTTACTTCCCTGCCCTTTAGCGACCTGCGTTCACAAACTTTCCTGAGGCCTTCAATGCGGTCGGATACCCGGAGCTCCAATAATGTTTTGATAGTACTCAAACCTACACGGTAAGGACATCAGCCAGTTGATGTCCTTGATCATCAATGCCTTCTACACTAACAAGGAGATCTTTCTGCGAGAGCTGCCCCTTGGTGAAGCAGATTTGCCTTGATTTGATTGGACAGCAGCAAGTGGCATTCCCAAGGATTTCAAACGCGTCAGATGCGCTGGACAAGATCCAATTCCAGGACGACCCTCTAGAAACGCAACTATTTAATCGCTTCTGGCTCTCATGGCTGCTCATGACTAGAGGCTTCACAAGACCCTTCGAAGTTGGAATCCGAGCCGAACTTGTGCATCAAAGCCGCTGTCTGAGTTCACGGCACAAGCACGGTGTGTTTCAAGCTGGTTTATGAAGCTTGAGGTAACGCCTGACAAAGACACTGGAAGTGTCACTGTAGAAGACACTGGGATTGGCATGACCAGAGAGGACCCGTTAGTTTTGTTTTTTGTTTCTTCAGAGATGGCTCGCGTGCGTTGTCAAAAAGGAGATGATCCTGCACTTGGGCACTATTGCAAAGTCTGGGACCAAAGCATTCATGGAGGCAGGTTCGGACTTATTGGAGTAAACATGCATGGACCCATTGATGAAGTGAGCTCGTCCTCCAAAACCAGGCTGTGTCGTCTGGAGCAGACATGTCAATGATTGGTGGCTTCGATGCAATCATCTGCAATACCAGTGAACAAACAGCGTGCGTGATACTTGTGCAGCCTTTGCATGCGAGGTCAGTTCGGGGTTGGCTTCTACAGTTTCCAACTCAAGCCCAGCGAGTCCAATTCAAACAAACTAGTGCATTGACAGAGCACCTCTGAGCACTGGCCAATAATTAATAGCGATGTCCTCCAACCTACTAGCGATGGCCTCCAACCTAGTGCATTGATAGAGCACCTCCGAGCACTTTGTCTTGCATTCTACTGTAGGTTCGTACTTGGTGTCTGAGAAAGTCCGCGTCGTCTCAAAAAGCAACGATGACGAGCAATACATTTGGGAGTCAACCGCTGGAGGCACCAGCAACTTGGAACTCATACTATGTTATATAGCATCTGGTCACTGTCGAGTGCTTCAAGCCATGTTAGGAAGATGCTCGCATGTCGGGTTGGACATTTAAGCTCTGTTGGTTCATGAAGTTCACGTCAATCCTGGAAGGTACGTTTCTGGTTTGGAAGGCAGGCAGACAGCGACAGATTGAAACAGATGGAAAGGGGACCGGTCGGACCTGGTCCACATCACGGTTTTGGCCTTCACATCGCCGTGTTGCAGGACACAACCTTTGAGCACGGAGTTCTCAAGCGAGGAACCAAGGCGGGAGCGGCGAGAAAGACATGGGAAGCCTTCTACAAGTCACTACAAGTCAATGAAAGATCAGGAAGGGCGTTTTATAGAACATCCTGAAGGATATATAGAAGTGTTCCGGCGATGACTTAAACATGAGATTTACGACTGCCTTGCTTCTTTACTCAAAGTAAACACAATATATATATATATAGAGACTATATCTGTGCATTGTTAGTTAGTTATGCGGACTGCCACTGTTGACGGAAGAAATTCTGTACCCTTTTTGTGAGGATGATACCTCAAGCCCTGGCGTTCCCTCAGTTTGTCGCATCCGAGATCTAAACCTGCGATCCCGAAACTGCACCTGCCACCTGCCGCATGACACAAGATTGAGGAGTGCCGGGCTGCTGTATGTCAGGTGTGGATGAGCTACCAACTATGTCGTGTAAAAGGTGCAGGACCTCGTCCGTCAACCGTAGACAAATCAAATTCTCTTGGCGACCAGTGCCTCGGTGGATGGTCCCAGCCACTTGTGTCCGGCCTCATGACTGACACGGCCTTCGGCCCAGCAAATCCAACAGAGAAAACTTGCAAAGAAACGAAAGTAGCATCAGATACCCTTTAGCGTGAAGGCCAGGAACAGCACACTTGTTGGTTGCAGTACTTGAGGGCCCCTTGGTTGGAGGGGTTCCTCTGTTTAATTTTTAAGTGAAAAACACATGTCTAACCCGAACCATCCGAAACCTATCCCAACGGTACCTGCTATTGGTCTAAGAACAACGCCAAACATGGGATCACGAAGGGACTTGTTATGCAATATAATCTACATCAACCAATGAACAATGAGGACACCCTAGGACACCAAACAAAAACCATGTCCTTGAGAAACCATGATCTTCAAAAGTTAAAGGTTTCACCTTGGCAGGTGATTTGCTATCTCAAAGACGACCAGGTCTTGTACGCGGGTGACGTGAACATATTCAGAGATTTTGTATGATAGGATTGAGCGAGTCCTTTGGCATTTACTGTATTTTCTTTGAAAAGCCCATTGCTTTTGTTCTTGCTTTGATCAGAGTGTCTCACAGGCGGAGTTTCTGGAGAGTGATCGCCTCAAGGCAGGCAAAGTGTACAGTAGTATACGAATCGAAGGAACTTTGTTGAGTGCTTGTTTTAGTGTTTTTGTTTTTAGTGTTTCATTGAGGAGCTCATCATGAAGCACTCCGCGTTTGTTGGCTTTCCAATTGACTTGCGAATGGAACACCGCAAGGCGGGGGATGGAATTGGACTGGATTTGCCCGGCTGTTCTGGTCTGACTTGATCGCTTTGAGGAAGAAGAAATTGAAGTCGAGGAGGACGGAGCACCAGAGAAGAGGAGAAAGGCTGACGGCTCAGCTACTTTTCACCGAATCTGAGAGAAGCTGAATCTTCGTGAATCAGAGGTGACGGTGAGCTACTCCTGGGCCAAATCCCCAGTTCATTTCGATGAAAAAGGGCTCATGTTGCACAAGGCACAGTGACTGAAGTTGCACAGTGACTCAAGGAGCTCATGAACAAGAACAAACCCTTGTGGCTGCGTCCTCCCGAGAGTGTATCTCATGAGGAGCGCTGGCTGAAAGGTGTTCTTGTAGTTTCTTGTACCTAAGGTGTTCTGAGGTCCATTCCCCGAGTAGTAGTAGTAGTAGTAGTAGTAGTAGTAGTAGGGAGATGTAGGGGGTATTGTCGGTGTTCGAGTTGCCAAGACGTCCTAGAGTACGCCTACTAAGAAGGGTTTGAACATGAAGATGCAGGAATACGCAGACCTCTACAAGTTCCTATCTGGCGACTGGGAGGCACAGGGAAAAGCTTGGGAAAACGTTGGAGCTGCGACATGGCCTGTCAGGATCATTTGGGCGTGAAGCACGTGACCCAGGGTGGCCAGGCACACCTGCAGGGATTGAAATTAAGATCCTGCAATGGCCTCCAACCTAATAGCAATGGCCTGCAACCTACTAGCGATGGCATCCAACCTAATAGCATTTGTTGGTCTGACATGGACGTTCTCTGTGTTTCAAAGGTCGACTTCAAAGCACTTCTCTTTTGCCCAAGAAATGCCCCAAAGGCTGGGAGTTGCTCCAGTGACTCACGGCTTGCTTTGGAACCTGTAGTTTCAGGACATGTTCGATATGGGGAAAATGTCGCAGCGATTTAGCATTCGGCTCTATGTTCGCAGGCGCTGTTAAAAATCTCACCTGTTGCCTTGTACGATCACTCCAAAGAATGTTTTGATTTTGGAGATTTCAGGGTCTTCATCAAGGAGTTCAATGACCTGATCCCGAAATGGATGGGATTTATCAAAGGAATTGTCGACAGCGATGACATGCCTCTGAACATTAGCAGAGCTTTTTGGGCAGCATTGGTGAGTTTGGACTGCAGCGCTTGGCGTTTTGCCCAAGTGTTTTTCCTGTGCATTGTTTTCTCAAGGAGATGCTGCAGCAGAATGCTATCTTGAGTCACGGTTCAATTTAGGGGCTTGGGATCTTTGAAGACGATCCCTCTCGGGGGTTTGTTTTGGGGATCTCCAACATGCCTTTTGGCAATTGCCTGAGGAAAACACAGGCTGTGCAGGAAAATGAGAACTTGGGAAGCTTAGGAAGCACATCAAGACGGGTCTTCAGAAGAACATCTTCAGCATGTTTCAAGAACTTTCCCAGGAGTGGGATGTAAAGAAAAAGCTTTCTCAAAAACAAAGGCACCTTTCTGAGCTTGAACTCCTGCAGATCGAACCTTCTTTAATCTAGCTTGTTTATAAAATAGAGCATGCAATTTGGAGGACAAAGAGCGATTCAAGAGCTTCCAAGAGGCCTTCTCACAGTGCCTGAAACTGGGCGTCTACGAGGAACAACATGAGAAACAGAGCACTTTTCCAACGTGGAGAAAAGTGGCACCGGACACATCTGATGCGAGGATCATGCCAACAGGGAGCAGATTATTCCACTTCTTCGATACCACTCCTCAAAATCCGGGGAGGTTTCTTGGCCTCAAAACAATGATCATAGAAATCTCTGGGAAATGCTTGCTTCCAAATGAAGCTGCACACTTTGTCTTACTGCTTCCAGCTGTTTCCATTTTACACATTTCTAGGAACTTGTTGGTCTTGATGAGTACGTTGGCCGAATGAAGCCAGGCAAAGGGTGCAGAATTTCTCACTTGAAAGCACCTTTCATAAGATTGTTAGCTCTTCGTCCAGGCCAGCGTCACATCCTCTACATCACCGGACGAACGAAGCGCGATGCAGCCAGGTCTCCCTACATTGAGGCGCCGTCGTTGCCATACTAGCGATGGCCTCCAACCTGATAGCGATGGCCTCCAACCTAATAGCCATGGCCTACAACTTAGTAGCGATGGCCTCCAATCGAAAAACAGAGAAAGCTGCATGAGCCGACATTAAACCGCCCCAGGGCTTGAAGCGAGATGGCTTCGAGGTGCTGTACATGACGGACCCGGTTGATGAATATGCTGTTCAATTTCTGAAGGATGGGTTCTGCTTCAACCCTCACATATCTGGACAATTAGTTTCTTTCTTTCTTCTCTCACTTTTTACCTCTTATCCTCTTAATGATGTCCAAATGCCTTGCCCTTTGGCTACTTCTTTCCCCGTCAGTTGATGTTCCTGCGGCAATGTGGTGCAACAGTTTTTGATTTTTGGAAGTTCCTCCGCCTCCTTTCTTCAGCATTTGAGCAGCGCATTTTTCGAGATGAAGACAGTTACATGAAGAAGGAACTGATCAAATTCAGCGTAGGCAATTCAGGTGAAGCTGTGTGATCATTCTTTCGAGCAGATTTGTAGCACAGGCTGGTCCTCTTACTTGCCTTGGAACTACAAGTTTCTTAGCCTTCACCACCAGACTTCCCAGTAGTTAGTCTGAGACAGCGGAAACCGTGTGAACAGCAGAGTCTTTGGGGATCCGCCGTGAATCTGCCGGCGAAGGATTCGTGTTGCCTCGTGCTTCTGATGCCGACGAATCCTTCGTTCCCTGACGCTCTAACGGCTCTAGCGTTGAGTCTTCCCAATGCTCGTCAATATTCCAGGAGTATCGCGGATACGAAGTGCTGAGCTGCAACTTCCATGCAATTCGTGAAGCTGTGAAGCTGGGATCGCCACTGTGTCAAGCGAACGAATGTTTCGTGCTGAAGCCAATGAGCGACCGTGTTGGGACCGTAGGCATGAGCATGGATGCTGCTCGACTTCTAGATCATCGCTCTGAACAGGACCTGAAGGTGGGACGCTGATAGGCGCGACTCCGACTGAGTCCGTCTTCCTGATGAGGCTGAATTGGAGCCCCTGAGGAGACGAGTCGCAGAGCTTTTGCGCCCCACGGTGTTGAGGGCTGAGAGTTGTATTTTCATGTATTTTGCACTCACGCTGCTGTCCTTCACTCTATACGTTATTGCTTCGTTTGTTTGGACTGGCTTGTCAATTGCATACCCAAGCCAGTAGCAAAGCCACGTCTGAACAGAAAATCACACTTACATGTGAGTTGCTGCTAAGTGAAGATCCGACTTGGTTTAGTACATTTGATGTGCAGAACTTGATTTGTGGAAACCAATCCAACACTCCTTGAGGCCAAGCCTAAGCGTCAGCCTGGCATCTGGCATCCCAGCAGATTGTTGTGCACGTCTTGCAGAGTCCCAGGAGGCCTTTCGGAAAGATTCCAGCATAGGAGGCGGCAACAAAAGCGACAAAAGACCAACTAGTAGCTTGCTACTAGTAGCAATGGCCTCAAACCTAATAGGGATGGCCTCCAACCTAGTAGCTTCTT